GCCCCGCCCCGCCACGCCCAGCCTCGCCCCACCCCGCCACGCCACGCCCTGCCCGCGACTGGCCAGGAGCCCTTGGCGTCTCGAGTCGACCAGGAGGACGGCCTCGTCGGCGTGCAGAGGTGGCGCGTGCGACTGACTGACACGCCTGACCGCTGCGTGACCCAAATAAACAGGGTTGATGATGAGGATGGTGAATGGGGAAGACAAGTCCCTCCATTGTCTGCCAATGCCTATAATGCTGTGTTGTTGCTCTTGTCCGCAGGTTATAAAACAGACCCTAATCCTGGGCTCTTCCAATGGAGTCGCTAACGGGAAGGCCAATGGGGTGGGAAACGGAGTGGGCAACGGAGTGGGCAACGGCGTGGGCAACGGCGTGGGCAACGGCGTGGGCAACGGCGTGGGCAACGGCTTGGGCAACGGAGTGGGCAACGGAGTGGGCAACGGAGTGGGCAACGGAGTGGGCAACGGAGTGGGCAACGGAGTGGGCAACGGAGTGGGCAACGGAACGGGAAACGGCGTGGGCAACGGAGTGGGAAACGGCGTTGACAAGAAGACGGGCAACGGTGTGAGCCATCGAATATCGCGGCGCGACCGGCCGGCCGCCAAGGACGAAGCGACCAAGGCCCTCGAAGAGCTCCGGCTCACCACCATTCGCGGTAACATAGACGGTGTCCGAAACGCTCTGAAAAAGGGTACGTACCCGATATACGTGCCCCAGGTAACACGAAATGTCACCATGAAGCCATACGTGGACGGCAAATGGCCAGTTTAGAGCTGAGGTTGAGACAGAAATGTTCGCCTGAGACGCACGTCAATGGGCCGACGTCGTGACCATTTCGTGTTGCTTGGGGGCCTCTGCAGTCCTGCTAACCTTCGCGATGACCTCGATCTGCTCCCTCCGCAGGCGTGTCCGTCAACCAGACCCTGCAGGGCGGCTGGTCGCCGCTCATGTACGCCTGCTCCATGGGCCACCCCGACCTCGTCGAGGTCCTGCTGAGGGAGGGAGCCAACCCCAACTTCCACAAAGGTGAGCGCTTATTGAGTAAACAAAACACTGAGAGATTCTTTCGTTTCGAACGCAACCTTCCGCCTGTCTCAGAGTTGTTCACGCCCCTGATGGCGGCGTGCGCGTCGACCCGTGAGAACGAGGAGAAGCTCCTGCAGTGCGTGGACCTGCTGCTCCTCTACAACGTGGACGTGAACGCCATCGAGCGGCACCGCATCTCGGCGCTCATGTTCGCCGCCAAGGAGGGCCACGAGAGGCTCGTGCGGAGACTGGCCAACCGGCAGGGCACCAACCTCAACCTCCAGGACAGCCAGGGCTGGACGGTGAGCAGCACCACCAGGGCCCTTCAGAGCCAACGCGCCCTAGGGGGAGGGTACAAATCATGCACCCTCAGTAGGTTCATGAGGACCACCACGAGCTGCGCGGAGTTGAAGAAATATCATTGGGTTCACTTAAAAAAATCGATTGTAATTTTACAAATTTTGTTGGCAACTTTTTACGCAATTCAATGTTTGTAAAATTACAAACTAAAACACTTGTAAAAAAATTGCAAACGTGTTTTGAAATTTCACAATCTGCGATCTGAAAATTAAAAAAGTTAATGTGAATTTTCAAAACACCAAGGTTTATAAGATTAAAATAATTTGCCATGATCATGGAGTAGGTGCACCACAGACGGTCTAGGGATCAGCTCATTGGGCTGAAGAAGTGTCAGTTACCTCTGAGGGTAATGTCACAGCAAAGATACGTGAGCGCTTCACAGGCGCCCGCTACTGAACAGATGCGAACGGCGCCGTACCTAACTAAGGAGAGGTAGCGGGGACCGGCGCGCGCTGGAATTAGACCGATTATTTGGGGCACTTGGTTGGCTTTTTGCTCAAAAACAAATGCGTAGCCAGCTACAGCATTGTGTTACAGATCATACCGCACAAAAATACATGTCAGTTTCTTGTGCAAATTTTAGTTAAATACTAATAATTGCTCTTGGAAGAGACGCGCTGACCACAACGCCATCTGGTGGCAGTTCTTTAAAGTACAGTTGCTGTTTCGTCGCATGAAAGTCCAAAGTCACAACGGGCTGATAGGTGTGGAGGTTCGTTGTACTGTAGTAAACCTGATGGAGGACTTGTGAAGGTCCTGTTTCATTTGGTTTTACTTCGCAAAATTACAAACTGCAATCGGAAAATTACAATCAAATCTCACATTTCCGATAGAGTGATCACAATTTTACAATCGCAAATTGTAAAATTACAAATGTTTCCTAATTTTCAGAAGACAGATTTGAATTTTCAGAAAACTGTTATGAATTTTAGTAACTAATTGCAAAATTGACAATGTTATGAAATTTCCCAACCACGTTTGCAATTTTACAACTGATTTTGATGTGAAATTTCACAACTTTTTTAACAGTGTTTCTATTAGCTTCAACCGACTTCAACGGCGGTCCGAAAACCTACTGACAAGGGGCGCATGATATTTGTACCCCCTCTCTACGGCCCGTGCGTGAATGGGGCGCTGACGGCTGTCCCGTGGCCTTGACAGGGGGTGGAGGTGGGGGTGGGGGGAGTGGGCGACGGTCTATGAGTTGTGAAACCGCAAACCGGGCTGCCAATATTCCGAAACGAACAAAAGTGTGTTCATTTTCCTTCTTGTCCGCAGGCTCTGTTCTGGGCGGTGAACCAGGGCAGGACGCAGGTGGTGGCCACCCTGGTGCAGGCCGGTGCCAAGGTGCACATCAAGGACCGAAGGGGTCAGACGGCATTCGACTTGGCAGTGAGCAAGGGGCTGAGGGAGGTGAGTCAGGGCGGGGCGCCGCGGCGGCGAGGGGGAGGGGGTGGGGGGGTGGATTGATAGCAGGGCAATGTGTCAGCCGATCTGACCTAGCCTAATCTTATCCCCCGCGATGAGATGAAGCATACGAAGCTGCCACACAACGACGAAGAGAGAGGTAAAATATGACGCGTGTCAAAATGCCGCGCGGTTACAATCAGCGATGCTGTGGGTTTCTCTAAAGCCCTTCCGCAGCGGGAACCGAGGGGTCCTTCACTATTATAAATTCTAGCGTACACCGATTTTTCTATTTGTCTTGATTTTTTGTGACCTTTTCTCGATTCTTTGTGATTTTTTCTAACTTTTCGTTGATTTTTTCTGATTTTTTTTTCATGAATTTTCGTGATTTTTTCTAAGGGTGTACACTGATTTTTTTGAGTGAAGGGCCCTTTGGCGGGAACATTTGAATAAACAATAATGATCGTGCGTGTGACCCGACGCCAAGGCGCGGGGGTGGCTCGCGGCCCTTGACCCGTCGTCGTCTTCCTCTCCTGCGCCGCAGATCGCGTCCGTCCTGAGCACGCAGCACCTGAGCCGGGAGCCGCCCGACAGCTCGCTGGACCCGCTGCTCGACCCCACCTTCAACTACGCGGACCCGGCGCTGAGCGCCTCGCTCGCCTCGCTGCCCACCGGCGACCGCAGCGACGAGAGGTGAGGACAACTTCAAAGAAACTAGGACGAAACTTGTTTGTTGGCGGCCGACATACACACTGAAAAATTCAAGTGTACGAATGTCGCACACCTGTAGGTGTGTGAAAAAAATCACACGTTTCTAGGTGAGCGAAGAAATGTACACACACTTGTAGGTCAGCGAATAAAGATTCATACACCCGGAAAGGTAGCCATTTACTCGCACCAAGTGTGTGAAAAGTCATTCACACATCTGAAGCTGTGAAAATGTCGCACACCTGCAGGTGTGTGACATTCGTACACTTGGATTTCCAGAGCATAATCCACGTATATAAAATACCGACTCGTGGATGAGCAATTCCTGTATATATATAGTTACACGCTAGAAAAGGTACTTCTTCTACACATTGACCGCGTGACAAATTTCAACGTCTTTCTGTTGGTTTTTTCCCAGTGTAGACGCTACTAACGTTTTACTTCTTCCGAAACTATTTCAAGAACTTATAATTTACGGGCTTTTTACTTCTTTTCCATTCTTTTAATAATATCAATAACTCTTAACACCTTCAGTGCGACATGCCCATAATGTGGCCGCACTAAACGTATTAAAGTAGGCTTTAGTCGTAATACCCTCCGAAGACCTCGGAAAGCGTGAGAGTCTACAGACTAAGCCACTGGGAATGTGTGTGACACTGAGTGTTTCTTCTCGTGTGTTCTCTCCAAGGCATGGCTGCGAAGCGGAATTGGAGATTTTACTGAATGGCATGACTCTACCCCAGCACGCCCTCCTCTCCCCGCCCCTGTTCCCCTGCTCCCGCTCCCCCTCCCCGTCGCCATTCTCCTTCTCCCCCGCCCCTTTCACCCCGTCTCCCTCCCGCTCCCCTTCCCCCTTCCAGTCCCGGTCGCGGTCCCGATCGCCATTCGCCGGCGACTCCGGGGAAGCCGTGGGCCTCTACGACGTATCCGACGCCGGCATCCGCCTGTCCGGCAATTTCCGGAGCATGATTCGCGCCATTCGTCGGCACCGAGACCGACAGCGAAAAACAAAATCGAACACACCGCCGATCACGATCTGTCCCCGAAATGAAACGTACAGGTGAGTCAGAAAAGGGGCCGTGCTCAAATTCCGTGTTTAAGGGGCCCAATAAACAAGAAACACTCACTTATAGTCATTTGCGACTGCTTTTGACTGTCAAAGTAAGTCTCTTTCTGCACTAGCCAGTCAAAATTTAGGCATAAAGACTCACTTGGACAGTCAAGAGCAGTCAAATGACTACAAGTGAGTTATACGTGTTTACTGGGAGTTGAGGTACTCTTTTCATATGCCTCATTTGAGTCTAGGGTTGATTGTGGAAGCTTTCCAAACGGCATAAGAAAGTTACTTTCTATCTAAGGGGATGGGTATATCATGACTTGCCAAAAGTTCGTCCGTTTCTCTCCGATTCATTCGGCAAATTACGGGAGAGCGGCGCCTGCGATACTCAGAGTAGGCCACCCCTCAGTACACGCATGCACTGCAGGCAAGATGTTGCCTACCCACCAGGCGCCATAAGAGCTCGCAGAGGCTGGACTTGGCAGTTTCATGACGGCAAATGACGGACTCTACTTTCTGGACCATCCCAAAGACGGCCAATCACGTCTATTTACAATCTTGGTTTGAAACGAATGTTCGTAAAAAGTATCCCAGTCGCTGAAAATTACGTAATTTGAGCACGACTCCTGCCCCTCCCCCCTAAATGATAACTATATTTCCTTTATGACACGAACACGCACGGCCACCAAAATCACCAGGTGGACATCCTAACCGGGTGTTCTTTTGCGTATCTCGCTCTCTTTTGCTCCATATTTTCCTTCCAAGTAACGAAAACGACAAGGATACAAGGTGGGCGACTAGCCCCGTTGGTCGTCGTCACTAAGTTTTAGTAACTGTGGAAACTCAAGTGTGTGCATGTACGCAGTCTATATTCAGGAGGAAGTGTAGATGCTCACGAATGCAGGAGGTAGTGTATGTACACAAGTAGAGCCGCATGCAAAAGCCATGTGCTGTTGTGGGCACTTGGTCATGTCTACACTATAGCTCCTGCAAACATAAGCATGCACACATCCTCCTGAATTCATGATCAAGGGGACGGTACCTCCTGAATACATGAAGGTATTCGGGAGGTACTGCATAATGTGCACACTTAGGTTTCCAGAGTAGTCAGTCACCAGCTACGGTGTTTTATCGCCCCAAGCGCATAGGCAACCCACTCGGCTCCTTGGGACCGACGGCTAAAGAGCCTCTGAGGCTCTTTACCGACGGCGTGATGGACGACAACCCTGTATCCTCGTAACCTCGTCGTCGTCTCCGTTCTCGAAGTGTGGGATTATCGCGCCGATGCCTAATACGTCACTGGTCAAACTCACCGGCTCTCTTGGTTGCATGTTGGGCGCAGCCTCCACGACGCGCTGGTGGTGCTGTCCAGCACGGTCCGCCACCTGTCCGTGCTGTTCGCGTCCGTGTCGTACGTCCGGCTGCGCCTCCAGGGCCGGCCCGTGGACCTCCCCTTGGACCAGCGCTACAGCGGCACCAACGGGCTGTCCGCGCTGAGCGCGCGCGCCCTGCGCCAGGCGGACCTGCTCTGCAGCGAAGTGCGCTTCCTGCACCAGTTTACGAACAAGGTGAGGCCCCATGAAAAATCGAAACGATATCAATACGATATTGAAGCAATCTCGAAACGATATCAGAAGTGTGTCACTCACAGCAATTTCAACACCCCCTCAGAATCAATTCGGCAACGAAATCAAAAAGATTATGACATTGTTTTTGGTCTGATATCGTTTTGATATCCGTTTTCCCCACTTGACCAGTGAGTTTCCTTATTTGATGCAAGTTACTGCTATACTCACAGCTCAATGAGACGGACGAGATCGTGCCGGCCGATGTCATTGTGGAGAAGAAGGACAGCTTGCCGACGTACACCATCACGAGCATCCTCGTGGTGACGGCAGTGTCTGCCATCGTCATCTACAAGTGGCGACACGGTCCGCCGGCCCTGGTCTGGTGGTGGTGGTGAAGCGTCCTGGGAATCGTTTATGATCAAATATGGAACTCATGTGATTTATGTTATTAGGACTGGTGGCATACTTGCTCTCCCAGAAACAGACTGACTGATTTAAGTGAGGAGTACTAGAGACTAATTGGGTACTTGCCAATAGGGTTGTAAGAAAAAATGTAAGGTGTATCTATAAATGTTTTATTTATTTTGATAGCAAGGATTTCATTTGATTACATGGAAACTAGGCAACAGACATGTACTGTACGTTGATTACTGTTCTCTTTCCCTTTACTAAAACTGACGAGGTTGTAAGATTGTTCCTTTGAAGACCAAGAGTTCACAGAAAGGACATGAGAGAAAAAGGTAGCAGACAAGGTGGTTGAGTTGAGTATTGGTCAAGAACACAATTTCCTTTTGTTCATCAACCTTTAATACACAAAACAATATTATGAGAGAAGAGATACACTTTAGACATAATCCCTGAAAATCAAATTACGATACACCAGATATAGGCCAATTTAAGAAAAGCTGTGTTACAAAGTTAAACTTTGGCATTTAGTAGATCAGAAGATTGAAACCTTATTTTTTTGGCTCATGATGGAATAACATCTAGCTATAGATGAAAATCATAACAATAGTTAGTACTTCCACAGCATTTAGAAGTCAACAACAGAGTAAAAGTACATAATATTACAGTATTCAAGTATACCATACACATCATAAACAAATTTTTTAAAAAGGAGATAAAACTACCACAGCTAAAGTGTTGTGAAAAAAAAACAAAAATTCTTCGTTGAGCAAGAACTTGTCAGCTCAAAGCACTTGTGACCGAACATATGGTTTGAAAGAATAGCTCATCATAGAACTACATACTGTTTCAGTAATTTTCTAATGTAACACAACATATTTCTCACCCCTGAACTCATAGCCTGGGCAAAGATAATGAAACAGACATAAAGATCATGAGATGAAGCACAGACCAGTAGAAAGGTGCAGAAGCTGAAGCTTGGATGTGCTACACCTCATAATAATACATACTGGAAACTCCTAAATCTTACATTTTGGAGAAAAAATAATTAAAGTAACAAAATTAAACCCATGGAAAATAGCCATAAATATTAAGTTACAACATGATAAAACTTAGTTAATGGTAATCTATCACTGTGTCTTCAATTGTCGTGCAAGGTAGGCAGTTCCATTACACTTACAATTCCAAGCATGAGTAACTTTTGCGTATCAAAATATTTTTCATGATAAACAACAGTCACACAATCAGGGCAATGACACATACAAATACAGATTCACAGGTTCTCTTTTGTCATGAAACAGCAGGTTTAAGAGAAAAGGACAATTTAGGTCTTGAATTATTCTTCCCAAGGATTTTCTTTTGCTCTTCTTTAACTCTTCTCTCCTGCTCCTTACGTAATCGTTGTCTTTCTTCTTCAATTTTACGTTGTTCTTCAACCATTTGAAGACGCTCCTCTGCCTGAAAAGCAAACAAAAAGAGCAATTGTAATATGTAAAAATTAAAAATCTTCCTATTTCACCGAACTTAGTTGAGATTTTAAACTTACCAGTTTTCGTTGTGCCTCTTCAATTTTTCGGTTATTTTCGGCCATGATCTGCTCCAAAGCTTCTCGTTTCTTTTCTTCCTCTTCCTACAAACAAAGCAGAGTCAAATTAGCAAAACCACAATGGACTTGTTTCTACCCTTTAAACCTGTGGGGAAATTTACTCAGCTGCAATGCTTTTGTTTAACACAAGAAACAAAGCAGATGACAAGTGCAGTAAACCTAGAGAAGTCGCCACACGAAAGTAAGGGTCCAGATAAAAGGTAGGAACCAGAACAGCAGGCATCGTTGATTTTGCGTCGCTGTACCCATGTGCTCTTCTGCTGGAACAAGATAACCAAACCATCACCCCAATAAATTGATAAAAAAAATACTGATATGAACTAACCATCCTAGAAAATTCCTTACGTGGAAACTTCTTGCATCTTCAAGGTATTTGGGATGCGATCTTTCATGAAATTATAATGTAAAGAAAGAGAAACAAGGAAGCAATGAACTTGTCTTAGTATTAGGCAGCTCTTAAAAATGGTGTGTTGTAAAAAGAAGCAGAGGATCAAGCAGGCTAAGAAACCCATATGCACTATACTTCCCCTATTGAGCACCCAGTGAGCTCAAACCACTGCCCTTCAACAGCACGCAGTTTGAACATGGTGTCATAGTGATTATAGATGAAAATAAAAGCTTCATAAAATGAGGAACAAATGTTACTGCATATTAATGCTTCTTGCATAACACTTACTTGCAGAACCAGGCCCCCGCACACAAATTTGTTTTGTATTTTATTGTACAAATGAAACATGCTGCTTTTTGATTAAAACCCTGAAATGGATTGAGATGTCTATTGTTTATGATTTTGAGTGTATAACATACATGTCGGTTATTTTTTCAAACTAACACACATGCAAATGAGGAGACAATCAAGTAGCTGACTAATAAAGTGGTAGCCCGTAACTAAAACTTAATTAAAATTTCAACATTTATTTGGAACAAGCAATAATGACATGAAGATTTTCATTTTGGCTCTTGAATTGTATGACCTACAAATGCAGTGGTAGCAGTTAGGAAAGACACATCTACAACCCAAGGTTTCAAATAAAGCTAAAATCTTTCTCCCACAAATAAAACTTAGGTTGATTTTAAAAGAGCAGCATCTAGAAAGCATTTGTAGCTTGTTTGTATATGAGTCAATGGCTAATCATCAAGGGAAAACTGTTTTAATTATTTTTTTTTAATGAAGATAATAAAAAACACTACATACACATTGGTACAGCGGTACAAAAGTCAAAAGATGCCTGCTGCCAGTCCACTGCACTGTCCTTGAATTAGATGCTATGATGTACAATGTACTCCATTTGTGTAGTAAGGGTTTTATGTTGTTACACAGAAGAAGCAGTGTAAAGAAGTTCTGTGCTTTGAGGGTCAAACCAATAAGCTTCATTAAAAAGCTAAGAGTGACATATGCAAAATCTACACTATGAGCATGTGAGATAAGAATCTACAGACCTATTTGCAAAAAAAAAAGTTGATGGGTTCAATATGTTAGGGTATGAGGTAATAGTTTAATTTGATTTGCATGAACTGTACGACTTCTAAAGCAGTTTCCCAATTTATTTAAATCTTGCATTTGTTACAGGATTTGTGAATTTAAACTCCCATATTTATTAAATGCACGGTTTAGACTGGCTACGATTGTCATTTATTGGATATATTCTAGTTGGAAATCAGCCAGTCAGATGCCTCCAAAACCCACTAGAACGTATCCAATAAATTACAATCGTTGCCAGTCTAAACCCTGCATAAGTCTAAGCGGCACCCCAAATTTAGATATCAAATAAATATGATGAAAGTACAACTTCACAAAATTGAAATTTGTACCAACTTTCCTTCTGTGAAAATATTACTAACTGGGATAATAAACATTTCCTCTATGTTCTATAACCATATACACTTTTTCTATATGTATCAACAAAAAGCAGACTTCCCAAAAAGCTTAGAAAGTGTTTTCATAAGAAAAACCTTTATAAGAGCAGAATGCACACTGAACAAAAAGAACAACAAACTGCCACATTTGTGGTACATAATATCATATGAGCAAGAAGTAAAGAGAGACAACCCACCTAAGGACCATATGTGAACAAAAACAAAGGAAAAATACTGAATATCAGTGTGGAAGATGGGCCAGCAACTACTTACCACAAGAGTCAGCGCAAACTTCACGTGGCTGACACTAAAAGCCACAAGCAACCTGCCTGTAAGGGGAATCATGGGACAAAACAACTATAATCAGAGAACATTACGGAAGGGTTGCAATAAAACTAGGATATAATACCTTGATGGTGCAGATGAGGACCACCAAACCAGCAGCAGTTTGCTGCCTTAAATCCTCTATCTTCCACAGCTGTAAAACTCCGCTGCAAAGCACTTTATCTGAACTAAGCCTTCACAGTTTGTTGGGTTTCTCTGAGTTCCATGAGGCAATGAGCGTACAGCACACGCTCGAAAAATACATGCATGCAGAAAGTTGTGAACCCCATGTCTTGATACAAAAGGTTGAGATGGAAGAAATGGAGAATCCAGAAGGAAAGTTAAGCTTGATGAAAGTCTGTTAGAAGAATTAAAGGACAGGTAGAACCATTTCAAAAAGTTAGATGTTAACTACTACTGTAATCTGCTGTGCACAACAGCAAAATTATAATTTAAAATAAGAATAAGTTCACAACCTTCCAATTTGAATATTCATTAAGTAACTACTATCCCTGGATAATTTGTGTAAAGATTAATTGGAAGTTATACTGTGTTGAACATGACAATACTAAACGGAATTCAACTACAGCCACTTGGATACATAATACAAATACAGTAAAAGAATTTCAACTTTCATCACTGTACGTCAGAAAAAAAAGATGCACTACTTTGCAGTGGAACTTACAATGTGTAAAGCCGAGCAAATGTGAACATGTTCAACAATGGGGGTATATACTGAACTTTCAGTGGGTAAGACGGTTATTTTCGTGCAGCATTCATTATGGCTACCATGAATCAGTGCACATTCATCATCTGAGTAAAGTCTTATACCATTTATTTTATTACCATACTTACTAAAAGAAAGAGAAACCTCTTTCAAAAAGAATGGTTCTCCGATCATGTAAGGTAATAATAAAGTTACCTTGATAATTATGGTTTTAGGTCCAGGGACATGATCTACTTGAATGATATTTTCCTGACTACTTGACCATACCTCAATATTATGGAACACAATTATGGAAATATTAAAGTAGTGAATGGCGTCATAAAGTCCGGTCTATTATATCTTTCTTGCAACAGGCAATAGGTACAAGGCACAACAATTACAGGGAAACACCGATCACCTACCGTTAGCATACCAAATTCATTCAACTGCATGTGTACTAAGACAACTGAGGGCTTCTGTCTAAACTGTCACAGAATACTTGGAAATCAGAAATTAAAATAAGACAAAACTCATGTAACAGAAAGGTTTTCTGGCATGAATTCCATTGAATTCAAATAAAATAAGAATATGAAGAGTTTACGGAGAAGAAGAAAAATTAAGTACCAAGAGTCTATATGAATAATACATAACTTTCAAAAGATTTTAAAAAGAAAACTACTCAGATCCAAAGGGCAAATTTACATTTACACCACTGGTTGATAGTAAAAAAAGGTCAAAATGTCCGGTAGGGTCAGATTTAAAAGAAACCACACATGTGAATGAAAAAACTGTACAGTTTTTAAAAAAATGTCAAAAGCAAAGTGAAAATGCATGCATAATAGCAAATATTTTCAGAGTAAAAATCACTTTGCTTTTCACACACACACAAACAACATAACACTCCAGAGAAATTCTTTAATCAACTTGAATACGGTCTAGACCATAAACAAAAAAACCTAGTCTCCTAAAGAAGAAGCCAATGAACAGAAATGTCCAAAATATTAAAACAAAAAAATGAAACCCATATTGCTCAGTTGGAAGAGTAAAAACCTCCAATACCTGAAATATTCATACACTTCATTAAAACTAATCTATAACAGAGAAATGTTCTTACCTGTCTTTTCTTTTCCTCTTCCATTAGAACTTGGCGGCGTCTTTCCATTTCCTCCATCATTTCCTTCTCCATTTCTCGCTTAGCCTCTTCTATTCTTCTAAGAACTTCCTGTTCAATTTCTTCTTTACGTTTTTCTAATTCTTCTTCCACACGTTTTTTAACCATTTCTTCTATGCGTTTGGCAGTTTCTTCTTCAACTAATCGTTGCTCCATTTCTCGTTGTCTCCTGTCAAAGCGAATCAACGAGGTCCTTGAATGAATTTTAAATATCAATTCCTCAGATTAAAACGAAAACATAAACTTCAAAATTCATAAGTGAAGCATTTACCTTTGTCTTTCCATTTCTGCCAGCCTCTCAACCTCATCCATCTTTCGCTTCTTGGTATGCAGCTTGAACTCATCAGATGACGATGTACTGCTAGACGATGACCCAGACCGAGCATGTTTGTGGCTACACGAGAAATGAAATTGGTTATTAATTTAATGTGATGAAACTCTTGTTCTTATTTTCAAGTGGAAATGTTATACAATTGCATCCCCAGACAGTATAGTATTAGTGAGAATAAAAAGGAGTGAGTAAAGATTGCAGCAGGACCAAGAAGGAAGTGACTGAATGGAACTAGTTATTATTTAAGAATAAAAAAAGACAGAAAACATGATGCGCGTCCAATTTGCAACACGTGAAATTATTATTTTAAAGTGTAAAGAAGAATTACAATGATAGTTAACAAAGAACAAACAAAGAGCGAGGAGGAAAAGACGATACCTTGGCTTGGCACTTCGTTCTCTTGATTTCCTAGAGTGTTTACTATGTGATGTTTTTACTCTTTCCCTAGATTTCGATCTTTTTCTTGAATGCTTGCTCTTGTGTCTACGAGAAGGCGATTTACTACGAGGAGATTTACTTCTAGACCGGGAATGGCCCATTTTAGCCTAGCGTTTTACTACAAGACAGAAAAATTTGGCAAAACGAACCACAACGATGGAAGGAAATAAAGACAAGATGGAGAACATCAGGACAAGCAGCGCTACCTATCGGAAATATCGACAAGCTCTTAGCTGTAAACACACGAGGAGCACGAAGTGGCTATTTACAGTCAGTAAGGCCTTTATCGTTTTATCGTGAAATGCTTTTCACTATGCTGATGCTGGTTTCTTGCAAGCAAAAGTCGATCGATTTGAAAACTATCCAATTTTCCTATCAGAGCATAACATCACAGATCACAATTTGTCAGCGTCATTCCTTAACTTGCTTTTAGATTAACCGCTTGTCGAGTCAGGAGCATGCAACCTTCATAATTTCTCTCCACAACTAACATCAGTAGTCCACTCAATTTAAGGACAACAGAAATTTTCAAAATTTTTATTGTTACAAAAAAATGTAGTTTAAACGAACATTTTTGCGCAAGTTGTGCTGTATTTGTTCGTTATCGTTACTTTCTAAATATGATACGTTGGTACAGCTAGTAGATCAATAGTGACCTTGTAGATAGCGAATGTTTTTCTGCTCTGCCCTGCCTTCTGCTCGCATGTTATGTTAGGGTAGTGTGAGCAAGCGATATGGGTTTTAGCTGGAATTCTTTTACTTTGAAGACAATTATTCTCTGCCTGTCGAACTTATTGCCCTAAAAGACACAAAAATATACCCCAATCTTCTGCTCTCTCGTAGTTTAGAATGTTGCCACATTCCTTTCAAAAATCTCGTTCATCTGAAAATTTGTGATTGTGTTGTTTTGAAGACTAATTGAGAAAATGTCGGCTGCATCGGGAGATAAAACTGTCAACAAAGTGGCCCTTTGCTCTGCAATATTTGCTGGATTTGCGTATGTTGGTTACTCGGTCGTCCGTACTGCCTTCTGTCGGAAATTAGGTCGTCGTGGAGAATGTGAAGGTTAGCGCACTGTATTGAAATTACTTTAACCATTTAAGATTATTTTACTCAATTAAAATGAAAATCCATTGCCTATGTGTTGTCATATTTTTTCCAGCACTAAAATTAAAATTTGTGTCATGTCTTCAACTTAAATATGAGACTGATTTGATTGTTACAGGCTATGAGGGTGAACACCGATTGTACTTTCGGAGACTTTCCCAAACTACCCAGACAGATGTTTTGCTCGGGAACCTTGATATGGATGCTGAATCAGGTCGGATCATCTTGCGACCACTCACTGTTCAAGAAAGGATACGGGACTTAAATTGTAGGGCACGAATGTTCACTGACACCATGTTAGCCATTCAAGCTGGTGTTCCATCCCCAGGGCAGAGCCCAAAGACAGGCCCAAGAAGTCTTCAGGTGAACAGCACCCGCAAAACCATTTCAATTATTATTATTTTTTTTTATTTTTAAAATTTGCTAATGATCTGACTGAATTCTTTTCAATAGTGCTCACCATGGAGTTCACCTCGCATTCTCAGCCCAGTGGATGTCCGCACATTTCTAGCAAGCCGTTCAACTGAAAATCTCTCTGGTTTGGGAACTGGTGAAACTGGTGCGCTACGTTTGTCTGGAGGAGATATGGTCTTGGTAGCTGGTTCACCTATGCATCGCCGGTGGGTACGTCGATCAGTTCGGCATGGAACCCCTGTCAGCAGTAAATCTCGTAGTCCTGAAACTCCACGGCATAGGGACGATGAAATGAGGAGAGAGGCAGAACGGCTTCTGCGAGATGATGAAGAAGAACTAAGAATGAGGTTAGACACTGTTCAACATCGTGACAGGTAAGTTTCACAAACCTTCACTTTATTGTATTTTTGATGTGGTACACGGATGAGGTTTAAACTAACTATATTGTTTTCATGTTTACTCCAGAGTGATGACTTCACATGAAGCTAAAAGTCTTATAGCTTTACTTCATAGCAGTGATGATGCACTTCTTGAGAGAACTCTGACAACCATAGCCAATTGTAGCACATTCACAGCAAATCAGGTAGATTTACCAGGTCTTTTTTGCTTACTCAAGTTGTTTGTTGAAAACTTCAAGTCCTCATTACCTGTTTTCACTGTTTTAGGATATGATTCGAGAAGCCGGTGGTCTTTTTAGACTCCAAAATCTTCTCCAACATCCAAAGCAAAATATCCAACTGGCTGCCATCAAAGCTCTTGCTAATCTTGCTTTAAACCAAGAAAACCAGAAGGAGCTCAAGGTAAATTTCTGCCCAAACTTGTGCTTCCTTGGTGTATAAGAACATCTGTATTGAATCTTGTTTTCTTTCATTTCCAATATGCAGGATGCCATACCTATGCTTCTTTCATACATTCTCAGAAGTGATCTAGCAAACTCTGTTGCTAATGGAGATGCCACTGATGGAGGGAAATCACAAAATAACAACCGGAGCAGCTTTGGTGGAATGAGTGAGGCCTTACTGTTGGCAGCTTTAGTGGCACTTACAAATGTAGCTGTGTTGACAGACTGGCACGATGAGTTTTATGTGGCTTTGCATTCTCTATACCGGCTCGTCGATAATGGCAACGCTGCAGTGAAATTGCAATCATTACGATTGCTCATAAATCTTTCTTGCAATGAAGACATGGTCCCTAGCCTGCTGGCTGCACAGGTTAGTACCTCGCACTTTTTGCCGACAACTTTCCATACTGCAGGCAGCTTATGTTCACCTTCTGGTAATACATCACCTTGGTACATATAGCTTAAGATATAAGAGGATGGCCTAAAATTGATTAACTGGAATAAATGACCTGGGAGTGCTGTTTAATACAGATTGTGTCAAAAAAAATTCTTTTCTAGGCACCGCGCAAACTGATTTATTTGCTTGACCCACACACACAAGAAGATGTACTTCTTCGCGTTGTCACATTATTAGCAAACCTGACAACTGCTGCAAAACAGCAGCAGCTCGACCCAACAGTTGATTTGCCTGCTGAGGACAAGGCAGCTTCCCCTGACACCATGTATGTGCTTACATTCAACCTTACTTTTCTTTTCTTTACTACTAATATAACTTATACAGTCTTGATCTCTTCCAGGTATGCAGCCATCTTTGGTGTGAATGTTCATGAGAAAATTGTGTCAAAGTCATCTGTCCTTTCATCTCAGCATTCAAATGAAGATGTGCGATTCCAGGCCACAAAGCTCTATGAAGCTGTCAAATCCTAGAGTATGTCTTTTGTGGAACAGTTCTAGAAGCTGTAACTTGTGATTGCAGTTGAAAATTTTGATGTATCTTCTCAACTGTTGCAAACATTCCGCCTTTCAAAGAATCAGGAGGATGGAAAAAAAATCAAATTTCTCACAAGATTTCAATTTTCTCCTCATCTTGTGTTGCTCTCTCTAGTCATGTTGGCATTTGAAGTTAATGGTTCTTTTTGTTGGGTATTTTCAAAACTATTTTTCTTTGATTGTAGAAAAGCTACAAATAAAAGAAATTCCAATTAATAATCAATTTGCTTGGTTTTTGCAATGAGTATTGTAAAGTAGTAGTACATAGAGAGTCATTTCCATGTTTTTCATTTTCCAAGTACAATAATACATTTACCCAGTCAACTCAGATGTAATTCTACAGATGTTTTTATTCATTCTACGCCATTCCTGTTTCATAAAGAGTAGCACAAACCTACTTAGGAAAACATACATACCGATTTGCATTATCCTGGATGTTGTGTTTTCATTCAGTAGTCATATTGGAGTTCAGCCCAAAGCAAGTTTCAATTCAGAGACTTCCCATAGTAATTTTTGCTTTTTATGTGCAATTTTTGTGTGTGCCATATTTTGACGCATCATTGATTCTTCAGATTGCCTTTTGAGTGTACTGTATGTATATGCCTAAGAGGTGGTGCCATCTTTTGATATGTACATAGTAATTGATAATTTCTCCTTCCTGCCATTGAATTAAGCACAATTGTACTTTTATTTTGTTGTCTAACAGGGAAAAAGACTCACTACTATGTGAAAAATGAGGGGAAAATTCATAAATCTTTTTTTTGTTTCAAATTCTAGTGGAATGTTTGGGCTGTGCCAGATTTGAAAACTTGTGATAGGAGAGGCAATTTACATGTATGTGTTACCAATAACTTTTGATTGCTATGTTGTAATGACAAGTAGTCACTTCATCCAAATTGTATGATCATCTGGTATTTGTATTGCACAATATGTATCTTTTACTGCATTTATTTCAAACATACTGCATTGTTGCTGCATTTCTTTATAGCAATGTGGATCTCTACTGTGGTTCATGTACCAAAGGAGAACTTTTATCAGAGTATTTTACAGGAGCTTTAGGTAGATTTAGCCTTGAAAATCTTGAAAACAAAGCTGTACTTTCATTTGCTTGGTTTTATTGGTATACATTTTCTGAGACCTCTAAAGCAATTAATTTGTTTCTAAGCTAGTGAATAAATGTACAGTCTTACAAGGCTAAACCTACCTTTTGTTTATGCCATATGGACTTATAGTGTATTTATTATGTGTTGAGAAGTATTAATTTTACTTATGTCAGTCATCTATGTGGTAAATTTGTTAGACAGGATTGCTCAACCATATTTCATCTTCACATCCTTGTGTTTGGTTCAATTTTCATTAACTGCTACACAAATCTCTGCATCAGGAAATGGTACAGAAATGTTAAGTGTAGATTTACTTTTAAATGGTGTATTCAGTGATGCCTAAGAGTATTTAGATTTTTAGTTTAAATTTTCCCTATAAATGGTGTTTGATCAATGGTAGATGTTCCATCAAACCCTGTTCAGGCATTTAACACTTTACTGCTATTGATGACAAAGCTTATTAAATGTCTCCGTTCTATTTAGAAAAGATTTGAATAAAATAGGATTTATTGCCATATTTTTTCTAGTACAGATATAACATTCGATTCTAATTTATGCTTTATAAGCATATTGATTAGCAGTGTTTCTCAATGTGCAATTGTCAACCAATGTGAATGTGTATAATTTTATATATTAAAGCAGAGTTGGTTCAAATGCGGCAACTTTTGTAGAACCAACAAAAATTTCCAGTCAATATTTTTGCTGTCACTGGCCTCATGTTTGGGGATGTACTATTTTCATCTAGTCATCACTGTTAATGTTTCCTGTACTGTAAGAGGAAGAAAGAGATTTATGGAATGTTACTACAAGAGTGAACTCTCAGCTCAGATTATTTGTATTATCTGAAATAATTATTTTGTGTCTAAGTTATTGGCAGTCAGTGTCTGTGCTGGGAGCAGAATCTTTAATTTTTTATTGTATGTTTGAATCTCTGATGAGAAGTACCTTAAGGTATCATACTTATTTTCTGTTGATGTCTTTTGGTTAAGGTAGCAATATTAAAATAAATAAACAAAGGGTAAAAAATGTATAGAAAATTCAGCCGCACTCCTAGCCTTTTGAAGTGTAGCAAAGTTTTATTACCATTGATGGTTCTCTCAAAACAAAAGTTGAAAATATTTAAAGTACATGATACAAAACAAAGCCTAATAATACAAAGAAATCTCAGAAATCACAGAAAACTTTAACTACTTGCTCACAAAAGTGATATGAGTAGTATTTGATACTACATATAACTAATGGATTACAAGTATCAACTGCAAACCTATCTCTAATAAATATTGGTAAAAAGCCTTCGTTGACTATGAACAATACATCAAATGTTCACCAGATGTAAGAGTCAAATTCATAAAACAGGGTAATACTTGCAACTTTGGAATGTGTCGCACAGATCCAGTGCCACAATTTACTTGTGCATTAATCTGTTAAATTTTTGAGTGCCATTCTGCACAAAGTCCCTGGATAGATAAAAGCAGTGTAAGATTTTGAAAAAGAGCCTGATTTTCTTAGGCATTTACATTTACCGTAGGTCAGATGAAAGACCTATCCTATGATTCCAAAATAACATGAATTTTTACCTACTTGATCAAATTAGGAAGAGCAAGGTCCTTGTAGATAAATTTATGTCCATATCCCAGTTTCCCATCAAATTTCAAGAATACTTCTCCAAGAGCCTCCTTGCTTCGTTTCTTTTGCATGGTAAAGAAGAGCTGAGAAAAGCAAATTTTTAAAATACATTCTTTTACTTGTTAAAACAACATTTAAAATATTTAGAGAAATGGGTAAATCAAAGGAGTAATGTGAACAAATTGATAATTAGTGGTAACTGATCGTATAAGGAAAAGCATGAGCGTACCCTTTCTCCTAGATAAAATGGAACTATGCGGTCATCCTCAGCATGCAAAATGGCAACTGGTGCAAGTATCTTGCTAACATGTTGGTCTGAGTCAAATTTTAGTCCATTGTTGTACAAAGGCCAGACAAAACAGGACTCAAACCATGGCAAGATTTTAAAAATCTGTTTAAAAACAGGAAAATAAAATGTTATCCATAGTTCCACATTCCACCCGCACATTCTAGAAATGTGCAAAATTTGCTTGGTGCATTCAAATTTTTAACTATGTCACTGTAATTTTCCAGTCAGCCAGTTCACATGACTTTACCTGAGCAAGTGGGTGAGCCCTCAGTTCGTCTCGTATATTGTTAAATGGTGATTCCAGAACAAGTCCATGGCTTTCTTTTCCTTCGGCAGAAAGCAGTGATAGAGCATGGGAAGACACACTGAAGAGGAAAGGAACACAATAATTTTTACGGCCATACAAAGTTGTACTCACACTCTTAAATACATGATTCAAAGATCAATAGTTTTCACTTGCCCAGTTCCCAGGGAATGGCCCCAGACAAATAAGGGACTGCCATTAATATGCTTCTCAACCCACTTAAACATAAAAACTCCATCAGAAACAAGACCTCTTTCTGATGGTTCAACAGGACTAGAATCCCCATAGCCTGGAATAAAATTGAAAGAATTAGTGATATTGCAGTTTTAAACAAAAAAAGATGATTTGTCAATCTTTATGAACTTAAGTATACATGACAAACTTACTGCGATAATCAAACGCAACAACATGGTAGTCTAAATTTTGCAGCACCTTGTAGAGCTCAACACGGTGAGCAGCTGCCCGTGATCCAGAATTCCCATGCATATACAGAAATACAGGTCGTTCATCCTTTAGTTGAGTGTTGAACCAGTCTTCACTGTGTTCACTCTTGGATTCATTTATGAGGGAAGCTGGAAGAATGTGCCTACAATAGAGGGATATTATTAGAAAGATGCAGATAAAAAACAACCTTTGTAGATATTCTCAAATTTTAGGTACATACCAAACACCAAGCTTAACACCCTCATCCGTGGTCAAGTAAAAGTTCCTCACACCTACCAGTCCTGCTTTTTCTGGTGCACTGTAATTGAAATTCCTTGGCCACCTCACTGAAAGAGAATGTAAAAAGTGTAAATAAAATAACAGTATTAACTAAAACACTTGATGGTTAAATAAAAGACACCAAAAGAATATACCAACCAAAATTGAGAAAAAGCATACTCCTTTGAAGTGTATAACTGTAGCGGAACATCAGTGGCACAAGAATAAATAGGAAGACACATATTGCAAGAGCAACTTTTGCTGAACCAAGAAGGAGCCTGCAAAAGTATTTGATGAAAGAAGGATTAATCTAAGATTTTCTGAACCAAGCAAATCATGGGGATGTTAAAAAGAAAGTGCTGATAAATTGCTATACAGACGAAGACTGCTCAAAATGAGATGAATTCACGGCATGATTGACTGATCAATACTGTACTTACAACCAGTAGAAAAAGGAAAGCACAAGCAACATTCGCCACAACATTAATCCAAAACCAGAGTGAGCCATTTTTACTTTTGGAATTCAGCAAGTTATTGGCTATACAAACCTGGAACAAAAAATATCACACATTTTAGGACATGATCTTTACACATTTTTTTGAGTTTTTCAGTGTTTAAGGGTAGATTCAATTATAACCCAGACTAATTTAGAAAGAGCATAGTTAAATTAGTTTAAGTAGATTCAAAAACTACAACAAGCTGTTGTTTCTTTCACAGTTTTATATATAAAAAATGTAGATTAATTCTGATTTTTCTACATGCTAGAGCACCTGCAAACAACTCCAAACAGACAGTATTTATAGTAGACATGTAATTAAAGTCTCAATCATAAATTACAGATATGCAGGTATTACAGCTCAGACAATACACATGAAGCAAATGGCCGAGCTTTCTTAAAATGACCCAAAAATGCAGAGAAGAGCAAAAGTTGCCAGAGCGAGTATATAATTCGAACCCTTGCAAGAACAAGAGAGAAAAAAGCAAGAAAAAAGAAAGAGCTAAAGGAAAGAACTATAGGAAAACTCTTCGGTTGCTCACTACCACACTAATTCAGACAGAGTATTCACCTTCGAGGTAATCTTCGTCGAGATGGGAGCAGCATCCTTAATCGCATCACATGATCCACAAACACTACACTACTGTACTGGAAACAATAAAATCAGCAACATTATGAAGCTGACAATGCAAGCAAATGCAAATAAAGGAAAGCTTATAAAACGCTTTCCAATATACAATTTCAATTTAAATCATTTAAATAAGCTATATCAGAATTATGGGGGGAGAGTGGTTTTTAGGTATTAGAATTTTCCTCCAGCACAAAATGCAGTTTGAAAGACTTTGTTGCAGAGAAAAGCAGGCTAGGCATGAAGTAGTGTGACACGGTAATAATGTGAAGCAGACAAGCAAGTGAGACGAGCCTAAGAATATACTTCTGGTGATTATCTGCTAAAAATAGTTATTTAGAACGTAGACCTTATGATGGTCATTAATAAAAAATATCTTGGAATAAATAAAATATACCATTCCTTCAGAGCATGAGCCCAAGGATGAACATTGGTGTAAATATAAGGCTGCAGGCTAGGCAGAAATTCATTGTAAACAAGCAAGCTTTACCATCATGTTGAACCGCAAATTTATGAAAGGAACAACACCAGATCAGATGTGCATTTAGAAAATTGCCCCTACAACAAGTGAAAATAAGCAGAGGTAAAGAGATGTTAGATGCTCCACTGACATTGAAGCTAAGATATAGGTGGACAAAACTGCAGAGCATAGATTTGATAGCAGAAGGACCTAACCTTGACAATCGAGGAAAGATTCAACAAGAGCATGCGAATGATGAATGACTATGGTGTTCTAAAATTAACTCGAAGCCATTGTCTATCTTTCAAACATACTTACAGACTATGCCCGAAAATAAAAGGCTAGTACACAAACAGCAGTTATATCGGCGGGTGCAATAGCTCTCAAAGTCTCAGGTAGGTGCGATCTGAAGAAAGCTGTCAGCTGTCAGCAGTATGCACGCACTGGACATGAGGGCTGCAGGGGCAGATACCCAGTTGCTAAGCTATAAAATCCACCATACAACAACTATCAAAGTCCAACGAGTCCAACATTAATCACATAAGCTGACTAACTTAAAAGATATTTCCAGCCAATGAGCGGACGAAGGGCGAACTATGATGAGCAGCGACAAAAGAAAGAAAGAAAATCGTAACTTACAGGTGAGCAACAAGTTTTCATATTTGGAGGGAGGGAGCGATAAACTTTTCATACGAGCGCCTAAGAAAATGTGTAGCCTCGTGCGCAATGCAATACTTACTATGTTTACGCCGTAGAACGCTGGCCCGGGCCAGCGCTAGCCCGGGCTGGCGGCGGTGCGTTTACCCCGTGTGGGCCAGCTGATGAAAAAGAGCGCGGTTTTCAAATCTCGACGATCAAACCAAGTATTTTAGGGTAAAATACTTCTCCCGGT